TATGTCGCACATTAAAACGCAATCATTTTGGTTATCACCGTTTTCATCAATCGTGTGGAGGTCTAAAATTGGAGAAAAAAACAACAGCTCTGTCGTTTAACTTTATCTAAAGGCAAACAATACTATACATACTAATTACTATTAATGGTTTCCATTCGATTACATTGGATTTAATGTTAACTTATATAAAACGCTTAAAGAATTATCTTTTACTGATATATTATAACTATGCTATTTTTTTTTTTATAGCAACCGCGAACGGTTATATTTCGTTGTTATAATATACGAGCGCCTCATTTGTTCAATTATTAATGATGACTATTGCAATATTTTATTAACGCTTAATTCTCAGAGTGTTTGTTATTGCAATTAGTTGTACATGACGTATCGACGAAAGCAATTGAAACTCAACTCGGACGTTAGAATCGCCTATTGCAAAAAGCACATCATCAATATAATATGCCCATGCAAACGTCCGTAATATACGTATGTAGTTCATGATCGCAAAAGCTCCAAAAAGTAATAAAAGTTAATTAAAAAAAAAAAAAGCATTATATGTTCGATGGTATCTTGGTTGTATAATATTGTGTTCACTGCGTCTGTAGTTTATATGTGTGCTTAAATTGTTATCTCTATTAGCCTCGTGGCGATATTTGTCGTCACGCCGCCACGCGTGATTAGGCAGTCTCATTAAAATAGTGACGGTCCAACGGAATTACAATAGTTATGTCATAACGCTCATCAATATAATACAATTATCGTGTAGGATGCGAAAAACCGCTGTCTGAACCCCAAATATTATTCATATCTAGATGTCTTTGACCGCGGTCGGTATTTAATACATAATATCATATTGTTCTACCGCTATAGTATATAATATGTTATAATAATATAATATTTCTCTTTTCGTTCAACGTTATTATAGGTCAAGGTTGTCGATCATTGTCGTGAGAAACATGCGCACTTATCTATGTAACGTCTATACTAATCATAATAATAATTATTTTAATCACACGGACTCCGGTGCGCATCTTTTTCACATGCTACGTTCCAGCAAGATACCATCGTGATGTGCATATATGAACTTAATAAAACAAAAAAGTCAACCATTCCTTCGCAGGAATGACTGAGATCATGAATATGTCTCTTATCAGTTGATTCTCCTTATTTTTAGATTTGATAATTAATGTCCCAACTCTTCCCTCGTTACCCTCCCCTCACCTCATTTTCACTTTCACTAGAGATTAATAAGACATAAAAGATGGGTTCAATCTAATCTTTTATCCCTGACCCTTATCAGACGTTACACTATTTACAAGGTGGTTCATTAAGGGTAAGACACTCATTTCTTCTTAAACGAATTGCAATTGTGTAGTTTTTCTTTTTGGAGTCACTTTATTCTTCTATTTTATCCATCACTGGAGTAAGTTGTTATCCTACCTAGTTCCTACCTCAAAAGACAGTAATGAAATTCATTTTTTCTCTATATGTTTCATTTATTATCTGAATTCATCAGGTAATATTTTCATTTTACGATCAAATTATTTTCCAAACTTGCATCCTACATTTCACTTCCATAGTAATCAATTGTATTGGTAAGATATAGACTACTGTAGGTGTGTGAAATGCACGGTTCACAGCTGTTAATAGGTCTATGGTCTATGGTAAGGACACGTATGTTCGCATATACATACACTTGTTTATCGCCGCGTTACCTTAACGGGGAACATCAATTAGACTTGCGATTGCGCCACACGGCGATCGGATGCTGGCGGAGAGGAAGAAATCAAAATGAAAATAAATATATATATATATAAACGCGAGGGGCCTACATATTGTTATAGTATACTAACTCCTTCTCCTCCTCGACATATCCATATGTGTGTGCTGTTGAATCGGTGGGCGGCATATATTATTATGTCTTTTTAATATTGTGAGTAGGCCCGTCGGGAGAGACTTAAAAAAGTGCTTGTAATAATTGCGTTTATACAAACCTTAGGCCGCTGCCCGTGTGTGTATACAGCACACGACCGCGGTTATTGTATATATACTCTCAGCCCATATGATTAACGGTATATTATGTTATAATACTGTGCACCCGAGCAGTCAGTCCGGCGGCGAGTCCTTTTGGATATACATTTCGAAGTGTTTGCGGCCGTTATGTATTTTTACGCCCTTTTTCTCTCACAAAAAATTACATATAATGCGACTAGCAACTCTATTCAAATGAGACACGTCATTTGGTCGAGTGCGACAGCTTACCTATAAGCTAAAAAATATTACAAAGGACTATACATTAGTTTGATCAAGCGGTTAAACTTACCAAGAGAAACTCGGTCAGACGTTTTTTAAACCGCGAGCATGGCAAAATATTGATACCGGCAACTTGCCGCTCGGGCTATGAATTTTCACAAAACATGGTAATTTTCTTGCAATTATCATCGACCACGTCCGTGATACTACACTCGGGGTCGACTAAATACTCAATTTGTGTCTCATCGAACTATGTAAATTGTTAACATAATAAAATATGGCCTATAATATTATTATTTCGCTATTCGGCAGTGTTTGTACTTGGTCACGTTACATATTAATCAGTCTTAGCATATTTTATTATTTATGTGGCGTGCCGCGTCGGACAGATATAACAGATATATAGATAAAAATCAAATTTACCGGATACATGACACACAGAGAGTGCATTATGTGGATATAATACCGATAGTGTTGCAATATGAATAATAGTCGTGTGATCAGTGGCCGTGTGGCATTATTATTTTTCGATATTGGTCGGTATGCATAATAAATAACTCTAAAACGAGACGGTAACGCGTTCTCCTCCTATTCCTCCAGAACTCGCTCTCCTTCTCTCTCGCACACCCTTGGTGTATATATATATTATATATATGTCTACAAAACAAACGATAGAAATAAATGTCAACACCTATTGTACGTGAATATCAACGAGCGACCACGATTTTCTATATACTCGAATGCGATTCAATGGCTTAAGAAACGCACTCGAAACGCTAATGGTCTGTCGTATTTTTTGGGACCATACAACGCATTGGTTGTAATGGCTGGAAGCCACTAGAACGCGTTAATATTATTTTAAAAAATAGGTTTCACTTTTAGCCCTTGCTTTGAGCTGCAGAGAAATTTGTTGTTTTTGTACCATAAACTGAGTTGTGTGAAATGTACAATTATACTTTTATTTCTGATAGCAGTTTAATGCACATAGAGCAGTGGACAGTTGGATCAGCCATCATGCTCTATAATGTATACGAGTATAAAAGTATTAGAATCGGTGTAAATTGAAAACTCGAGTTTTAAACTAATAATAATAATATGTTTATATACATATTTTCCCTCGACCAAATTGGTCCAATAGCTAAAATGGTATCGTGATTGGCGATTATGGAAAAAATAACAAATTAATTCAATATCGTTCCTACTCTATTTCACATCATGAGACCTATAAAAAACACAGGCTTTTTATATTATTATTTTTTAACTACGATTACGTCTTGATCGTGCCCGCACGCGCCCATGGAAATTATATATAATATGTATAATCCGTGTTTGGCGGTATATACCCATACATACCTATACTGATGAATATAAAAAACTGGTTGCGCGATTTACGCTAACCGTGCAACCGAATAGGTATAATTAAATTTGGTTTGCGACCACACCACTAGTCTTGAACTGCATATAATATCGCAATATGCACTTGAACGAATGATAATCCCTAATAATAAGTAGTAACTGTTTTCTCATTACCGAAAAACCGTCAAACCCACCCTTACTGGCTTGTTAGAGTCAGTGTGTGTGTTTGTTCAGACCTAATTCCGTTGAGGTTTTTTTTTCATATGCTGGGATCTGAGTTTTATTTAAACTGCACGGTTGATGGACCTCACAGTGTAAACGCAACACTATCTTATGTCATTTGTCGAACCGTTGTCATACCGTTATAACAAGATCATAATATATAAACGCGTTGAGTACACTACCAGTTGTAAACACTCTCTACACATATACATAAATATTTTATTACTAATAGTCGTAGGTACGAGAAATCTCAAGAGGTCGTTATTCTTCACCCGGTAATCCATCAGACCAGACAGGTAGCGAATTAGAAGAAGTCTTACGATTGCAGCTTATCGCTGACTTGGAAAGTCTGTATAATAATATTATATAAATATACCTCTAGTCGTTTCGACCCTGCTGTAACGGGGGATCCGGAAGTGGGGCAGTTAGTTTTCTCGATGACCCCAAGGGCTTCAGCGACCCAACGGTATTATACTCGTACTTGTAGGTTGTTATATTATGGCGTCACGCATTAACACACCGTATTCCTTATCAGTATAAAGACAATTATAGTATTTCCCATAATGTTCTCGTGTTTCTTTCGGCCATATGGTTCTAGAACCTAACTCGTATCGAAAGAAACCCGTTTAGGGTTGGACGTTATTTTTTTCAATTGTCATTATATTATTATTATCTAGACAATTATAATATGGTTTAGCCTCTTAATTTTCCCTTCTTTAATAGTATCATGTCCTTTACTTCTGTTTTCAACTCTCGTCAAACTTCTGAGAATCTCCATAAACTCTCTAGCATGTTAACAGAGCATACAGTAATTTACCATAACCGCATGACCAAAATCTGGTAGAAGCAAATGATTCTTTATGTTTTTTCGGCATATCTGTACACGTGCACAGTTATAAGGAGTTTATTGGTGTTACCATACGCCTATTTTAGTAGAGTTATTATTTATTGCATATGGCTGCGCACTTGCGGTTTTTGTAATTCGAGGGAGAGAGGGGGGGGGCAGAGGTGTCGGGTATAAAATAATCGCAACGCATTGCAGTAAAATTATGCATTACGCATTAGGCGTGTGTATCGAATTGTAAATATAGATAGATAGGCAGTACACTATCAGTACGCTATTATTGACAAAAGCGTTTTTGTTATAATGTGATTATTTCCTGTTTCAGGCTACCAGGAAAGCGGTAAAATGCGGATACTTATTCGTAGCACCCGGGCGAGACTTCTCCAATCCGATAAACCGAACGAAGGTAAGTTAAGACGACGACGTTATATTATACACATTGTTGTTATGTAAAGCCAGAAAGATTAGCGAACCCGGTTCGGTACTAAAAACGTAGTTACCGCGGCTAAAGGTGTGCGCGTTCAATTACGTTTAATTTTATTAGTCGAAGAATTGTCATGCCTGTTAAACATCTCGATTACCCGTCAGACCCGTCGAGCCGAACAGAAAAACCTATAATTGCCGCCGCAACCGTGCAGATTTCTACAGTTTTCACAAAATGCGGTTTCATGGTCGAACAGCCGCTATATATAGATACAATAATAATAAAAATTTAATTCTATTCAAGCCCAAAGAAATTCATTAAAGAAAAGAAAAATAATAAACGAGTTCGGTTTTTTTCGTATCTAATGTTACATTTGTTTTGCTCCAATAATCCCTCGGAAACGGGTTTTATAAATATATATTTTGTAGACACTTTTATTTTTTTTTGTTAATCGCCAAAACCAGACGATCGGAAATAGTGAAAGTCTTTGATGTTGTTTTCACTCAAGGGACAGATGATATTTTGGTTTCTCTCTCGGTTTTTATTTTGATCAGAAAGTTTTCGACAATAATTACGCTTTGAATGGAACCCGAGAAGAGGACTGTTGGTCGTGGTCAGTGTGTTTATAATGGCTTACACCGTAATAATGCAGTAATGATCACAACTTTTTTTTTGCTTCGAGATAATTTTGTTTATTATCGTCATTATCATTTTTTTCCCTTTACGCATTATTTATATTGTTTACGTATGTCGTGTGTGAGCTAGTAATAACTAATGACCACAGCACTAAACACACACACACGTTATAATAGAAACGCCCAAGAATACAATTTAAATAGTAAATACATGTGCATTTCTCTTGAGTTCTACTTGGACGTGTTTTTCTTCTTTTTTTTCCGCCGGCAGTTGACGAAAATTGCCTATTGTTTTTGTAACGTGTCCCGCATAGTATTATTATAATATAGGTATTCACCTACCGCCGCCAGCTTTATTTTTATAAATAAGTACATACCGTATAGTTCTCAGTCTGCATTCATAGACAAAAGATAACCTTTTAAATTACGTTAATTATCACCTAAAAAATAAACAATAGTTATACATTATATCATAATATTCATAATAAACAATATTTGTAAGTCTTATACACGGTCCGTCTTTGTAGAACTTACATCACAATCACGTCTTAACACTTTTTTAATATTATCGAGTATTGTATGAAACAACGTTTGATGTTTCCTTTAAAAAAACGTACGTATTTAACTAACGTCCATATTGGCATAAAGTACGGTAAGTACATAATCAATTCAAATCAATGTTTTCCAATGAATTACATGTACGACTGAATCAGAGCATGATGAACTATAATTTGATCGGTGGGGAGAAATCTAAAATGTATATAAAATTGTAAGGAGATGGTTAAGACCGTAATTTGATATGATTTTTAATATATCAGGAAAATCAATTTGATAAATAATTAACTTAAAAATCCAAAGAACATTATGAACCCGTCGAAGACCACCAAGACTATTTATTTTGAAGCCAGTAGCTAGAGTATTCAAATTGACTCCAACTTTGCCGATTTTATAGGCTCATACTCAAAAGTCGTCTCTGGAGACTTCTTATTTTATCAGTTAACTGTTAACTCCATTTGTTATTGATTTGCGACTACTACTTTACTAAGATTGTTCATAATCATTCACGAATAGCAGAGGGGTACCCCAGAAACGACACTCATCGTTGGCAAAATTAAAATATTAATTCAAACATCCTGTAATCTACTTATAATTAAGAAGGCAAACCGCGATATCAGGAGATCACCTATAACTGTGTCAAATAGTTGATTTTTCTAGTTTTCAAGTAGTTTATTAGTATAACATTTAAAAACATTTATTGATTACTTTTTTTGACAAACTGAAAAATAACTAAGATAAACCGGTTAACAATAATTGTCCAACTTGTTTATGTTTTATATTAATAGAAAGTTACACTATGATTAAGGGATTAAGATTAGGTAATTTTCACAGAAATTAAAATACATGTAGCTATTATTTTATAGAGCATATATTTTAATCATGTGATAATTTAAGCCGAAATGTGTTTAAAAAACTCGTTTTTAATAACCGCGCAGTTAAAAAAAAGATACAGAAATAGTCATGGTCTTTCCTCGGGTATCAGAATAATGATTTTGTAACACCTATGGGTATATTACCCATTAACCTTTAGGTATAGACCTGAATTCCATCAGGTTTTTTTTCTAATCAAATAAGAAAGTTAAACATTTTTTACTTAATTTTTTTGGGCGTTTTTCTAAAATATTTAACCTGCGATTTGTCGACTCGTCTGTAATAATATAATCATCTCGCGACGAATAATTGCGGAGATGACCTCTTATCTCGACAAAAAGCTCGAGCCGCATTAGTCGTGGCACGCGTACCGCCGCCGCCATTAATTTAATATGACAATTCGGACGGCGATGTGTCCACACACAAACACAACACACCTGGTTCAAGTGTAAAGAGTCGCGGTGTGACCGTGTCGTCGTAGGTAGGCATACACGGCGAGCTGCTGTCGAGAGTGTCGGGTACAAGATAGGACGTTTCCGTCACGTAGCGATAGACATTAAAGGCTGTATAGAGAAAACGGTGTAAAAAGGAAAAACGTATTAGGAACACAGAACACGGTAAAAAAATAGTACAGACTACCGAGGAGGACAGTGGCCAGAGCACACCACCACCACCGCCGCCGCCGCCGGAGGAGCTGCTGCCGGCGAGCAGACGTGACTCCTCGTCGTCGGACGTCAGTCAACCCGAACGAGCACGTAACAGATGATGGTTTTTTGTACCCGTCATTACTTCCACCCGGGCCCATTGAAAACCAATAACAACAAGACGTATAACGGCCACAAGAAACGTCATTTTATCTATTACATTTTTATTCCGCGATTCAAGAAAATCCGCGCAAAGTCTGTAACGCCAAAATCCATTCTCATTCGCTTTTGATTTGGCTCCCTCAGTGTCTTCACCGATAACACTTGAATTACACGAACACGACATCAACGCATAAGTCATAAGGCTGTATTTACTTCGTACAAAGGCTCTACATTTGCCATCACCGCATATACAATTCCTTGCGTTAATTAATACGCCTCGATTTCATATCATCCAATCATTAGACAGCTGTCTTGAATTTTGTATCAATACACTGATGGTTGACTGCATGTAGTTGCTATAAAACTGCGGCTTATTTGGTAAGAAAAAGATTTCTAAGAAAACAATTTCACAGAGAAGACATCGAGTATTATGGGTTTTTCAACAATCTAGTGTGATACGTTTTTAAGTAGTGGTAATGGAGAGCGGAGGCATAACATGCAAGATCTACCTTTCTGGGTTTTTAAGAAATAATAAACAAGGTGCTTAAATGCATTTATGCTCTTGGAAGATTGGGCTAGACATAGTAATGAGAGTGACGTGATGTCTGCGATGACATTTCGTTCGCTGACCACCGCCGATGCCTCTTGGTCTGTCTCCGCGTGTCTTTTGTATCATATGCAAGGAAACTATTCCCGCTAGTTTTTCTATCTCTTCTCTTCTTTTTTGTTTTGTTTTGTTTTAACGTGATGCAAGTCTAGTGTCGACTACGCCCTCCATTGTATGCGTCTAAAGATAATCGGGCATTATAACGCGTTTAGGTATTTTTCAATGGCGTACAAATAATGATCGGTACGCGCGAGGGACATACATATATTGTCTTTTCGGGTGGGCGTCGGCGGAAGGACGATGGTTGTACAGGTATGTATTATAGGTATCTACTATCGAGCCGACAACTATATTATTATTATACGACTGCCTTAGACGACCGGCAAAGCATTAGAGCCGCCGCTGCCGTTACCAAATATGAGGATGGCCCCTCAAACGCATGTGGCACACGCGTAGAGAGATAATAATATTATAATATTTAATAATAATAACGATAACAACAATAGCATTACAATCGGTGCCGACGCGATGGCCAATCGCGGTACTTATTGTCTCTTGCTCACTCCGAGTGGGTTAGGCTGGAACAGAGACCCCGATTTTGGCGGATACGGCACCTACGGAGATCCTCGCCAGATACCGTAGCGATTGTGTGAGGTGTACCATACCATGTAAACGCAAACGGCTAACCCGAAGATAAGTTCTACTTGCGCGGCCGATAACAGCTTTGGTCGTGTCGGAAACGCGCGTGGGTCGACCTTAGAACAGTAACAACAATCTCGGCCAACGATTATTTATCGACAACCGTTTGTATAATAATATTATGTATTTCATAACGTTTAGAAAAACAATCCCGTCGTCGCGAGTGATTTACCACAAATTTCCCACCCGATGAAATTGCATAAAAAAATATCAAAGCGCTCTCAAAGGCGTACCGCGGACAAGGCCAAACGATCGGTCATGAATTTGCTAGGAAATAATAACAGTTATCGCGCAATGATCTCGGCGGGAAGCTCTTGCCTCTGAGCATGAAAGGCTGCATGTGGTATTATGCGGGGGGTTAGTTATTTGTAACGTGAAAAAATCTGTCCATTTGTACCACCTCGAGGTATCTATAAGATAACTGTGTGGTAATTTGTCTGTTTAAAATAATGTTTTATTGCTTTACGAGTAATTTTGTAATTTACCACTGACATATTATGCAAATTTTTAAAACCATGCGAATTCGTGAATGCAGTTATTTTTTTTGTGATATGTTGACAACAAGAAGAGTTTACTATTTAACAAATGGATTTTATAATTAATTTGAAATAAATAAATATGCTACTGATGTAAATTCAGTAGTCCAATAATATTTGCTTCCAGAGTATATTTCATTTAAAAATTAATATGAATAAAAAAGCGTAATTACAGTTTTTGGTATTAAAAAAAAGCTCATCTCGTATTAAACAATTTTGTATAAATTCGCAAGTGTTATGGTTTAATCAATTTACACTGATTATTTTAAGG